CGAAGACGTTCCGTTGAATGATTTGCGCTTCTCAAATAAAGGTTACAGAGTAAAACAGTATGTTATAGTGAGATACGAGGGGTCGTATTTTCCTGGTGTAATTGAGAATATTATACACGAAGGACAATACGAAATAAGCACCATGGTTCTGTCTAATTCATTTCGCTGGCCAGATACTCCGGAATTTGGTATAACAGTACAAACATAGTGGAACATATTGAAAAACCTATTTTAATTAACAAAAGAGGTTTTTATAAGGTCAAGGAGATGGATAAATATTTGCCTTATTTATTTCTTGAAGGACATTAATCTTCAGTTCTTAAGACTGTTTTGGTATTAAGAAACTATTAAGACTGCATAATAAATATAAGATAGTATTAAGTTTGTATTACAAAGAGAGTATTTAAAATTGATTTATTGTTAAAAAAGTAAGTTCAAATTAATAATTGTTATGTTTTGAGTTAGAGTTTTGGCAGAAACAATAATTTTAAATGAATAATTGTTGAGTGTTATTTCTTGAAGGACAATGATCTTCAATTCTTAAGACTGTTTTGGAAGTAAGAAACTATTAAGACTGCACAACACGAATAATTAAAAGATACTATTAAGACTGCATAATAAGGATAAGATAGTATTAAGACTATATTACGAAGAGAGTATTTAAAATTGATTTATTGTTAAAAAAAATATGTTCAAATTAATAATTTTTATGTTTTGAGCTAAAGCTTTGAGAGCTAGTTTCTTTTTAGGTATTTTATTTAACTAAAAGTGATTTTTTAAGATTTCGACATAATATATTTTCATACTTACAACAAAAATTTTTTGGAGATTAATTAAGTTTACTAATAAAAGAAATTGTTAAAATAATAAAAAGTTATTTGTTTATTTAAAGTTGAAGTTAACTGGTTCATTAAATAATGCCTACCATGTCCATGATTGGATGTCCATGTGCGGGGACGTCCATGACTGGGCGTTATGCACTGGGTGATGCCTGTCCATCACTAGTGTTCTAATAGGGCTTCAGTTTTTTACAAAAAAATTTTAATACAGTAAGTAATTAATAATTTTAATAAAGATAATGATTCTCCATTAGTTTTGTAGTATAATTGACCCTGACTGCATTTATAAACAGTTACAGTAATCAAAATATAGTCTCATAATGTCAAATTTATTCTTATACTGTCCATGACTGGTGCGTTTACCTTAAATAAAAGAATGAAGCGAATTATTTTTTTTCTTTTTATTAAAAAAATCCAACGTGTTTAAATAAGAAACCCACATTTTGAAAAATCTCACGTGAGATTTGGGGATGGGGGAGGGGATTGAATAAAATCTCACGACATCTCACCAGGGGGGGAGGGAGGGTCAGAAAATTTGAAAAAAACACCTCACGTAATTTATGGACGCCCCCTAACTTGCCGTAGCGGATCAATGTGGTCTACCGGTACTATAATACCCTCTTCGTAAACCAGCATGTTCGGAAGGTTGAAAATCGTCGAGAATACGAGCGAAATAGTTCGTAATGACTCTTATAGAGATCAACTTATAGAGATGAAATTTCGTCGTCACTCGCCGTTTGATGTTTTTAAGTTGTTTAAGAGCCTTTCTAATCTCATATAGACTGACGACAGGTATATCCTCGATGCAAACGCTACAGCTCATAAACTTGACTTTTTATCCTTATTTTCAACAGGTGTTTAGGTCCACCAATATAACTGTCCACTCTCGATCTCCTGCAACATCACAACTTTCGACGAAATGGTGTCACCATTTGTTTGATGCCATATTTGTTTAACAGACAATTATTTCGATTTCGAAAAAAAAAATTGTGGCTTTTATTTCGCTCAATAGCATCTTTTATAGGTTCCGTATTAAGTTGGTGTAGGTTGCATGTCAACGATTTAGATGTGTCTATTTAAAAGCCGATAACGATTTGCGTTCTTTGAGTTTGCTAGCCTCATTTCGTATCTAGTTTTCACGAGTTGGAGTGTGTCATCAGTTTCTCTATTCTCGGCGGGATGAAAAATAATTAAGTCCCGTAGATACGGACAGCGTCCACCACCATACTGTGATCACCACCATAGATCGTTCGTAGCAAAATTATTCTCAAGGGCTTTGAATTGGTTCGGAAACAAGTGTTAAAAGTTTTCGGGGTTTTATATTTGTGCAGTATTGTTCATCAATCTAGATCTCTCAAGCTTGATATTGATATTCAATATGCCAGTGTTCGACGGGCATGAAATTCCACCTCAAAAAGAAAAAGCGACGTTGTTGTAGAATAGTACATTACGATATTAGTGCGTTAAGATGGTTATAACATGCGAGGCGGAATTTCAGCCCGACCCGAAGGCGAGGGCGTAATTGAGCCGAGCATGTTATAACCAATACGCACGTATATCGTGAGACTTTTTTTAACACATTTGCGAGGAAACAGAAAAAAAAACATTAAATAAACTCAATCTGTGAATGTACACTGTTGCTTTCCTGCCATTTTGACAGCGCGCTAGCGCTGCCTACTGACTGGCGCCGCGCGGCGATTAGTTCGAAATTTGAATAGCAACAGCTCGTGAAATGGCAAATAATACTGTTATGGAATTTGTATGGACTATACCTTGACTATTTGCTTTGGTAACACACGCGTTTTTTATGACCCGCTTTACATATTTACATCATACCGGTGGAATTACATCAGCTTTACGAGCAAAGGTGTTAAAAAATTTATAACAATTGTAACCCTTTACATTGCGTTGAAAATAAATGTTTAGTTGATCTATAGATGAACTATGAATACATTTCCCAGCAAAAAGTACCAACACAAACAAACATGTTATATTTACGACATTTAATATAATTGAAGTATTACTTCAATATATATAAATTTACAAAGATCTTATATTTTTTCCCTGACGTCACGGTTGTCCTAAATTTTTTCCCTGACTTTCACTGACTATCCCTGACCATCTTCTACTTCCCTGACTTTCCCTGATTTTCCAGAAAGTGGACACCCTAATTTTTTTGGCGTTGTCTCCAAGTACGACCATTACATCGTCATGTGGTAGTACAGGCATTATTTGTCACGAGCTTTAAATGGCTTAAGTAAATACTTTACTAACATTATGGTACTTCTACACGCAAAAACTACTGATCGGATTTTGGTGAGGTATATGGGTAATTCCAAGTACAATAAGCTGCTGGCGGTAAGCTATTAATGAATATTGTGGTACTGCTTGGCAGGACTTGAAACCGGTTCAGAATAAACCATTTTAATTTAGGTAAAACCTGTTCTCTTGTAATGTTCCGTTCCGGATCGGAACTAAATGCGGAGTGAAATTCGGATGGAATAAAAACCGGTTAATTCGCTTGGTTCGTAAAAAGTAATGTTCTTACGCTTTTAATGCGAATTATGTCATTTTTAAGCGACGACATTTATCATACCTGTTTACGGATGTTATAGATATGGGTATAGGCACTTAAAAACCGCGCTGAAGTTTATGAGATCATTGTCTGGAGCCATATTTAAACCGGTTAATGAAGAAAACCGTATTTCTATGGAACCAATTTAAAAACCGGTTCAAAGGAGCTTAACCTTTTATGTAAAGTACCGCATGTACTTACGTCGAACCGGTTCAAAAAGTAAACCGGTTTCCAAGCCCTGCTGTTTGGTTGACGTCAATCTGGCAGCACCACGCTTTCTTGTAGAAGCTCATTCTTTTATTCAGATAAATTTAGTATGTATATATTTACCTTCCTTTTTGATCAATCAACAGAGCCCCGTATAATTTGAATTGGTCCCGACTGTTGATCCTTCTGTTCTGCTTTCGAATTTGTGATATGTATTGTCTTTGTATAGATTTTAAAACTATTTCAATGGAGCAGTTATTCAGTACTTAATAACATTCCAAACTACTGGGCTTTTTTTCTTTTTAGTTTTAGTGGAAGTAATTTTGTGTTTTTTTCATTTCTTTCTTTTGTTTTCAAGCAGTCGGGTATTATGTTTTTATAATTGTTTTTTATTTTACATTTTAGTTAGTTCTCATTGACTTCTTTATGAGAACTATAAGACGGTAAATTTCGCAACCTTGTCATTTCATTGAGGGAGTGTATATCGTCAGGATTATTATAAGCAACTCGCGGTAGTCTAAGCTACTGATTATTAGTCCCTCTAGAGACCTCACTCGGCTCAAATCTATATAAGATTGACTTTTAGCAAAAATTCGCAAACTTAAGTCAACCACAGCTCGGTCTTACATAAAGTTAAAAATAAAACTCACTATAGTACCGCCAACTGTATCATATTAAACTAGCTAGCAGTCAAAAACCATTTGACTGAATATAAAAAAAATGGCGCACGCATGCGTAGTGTGAACTTAAATTCCCGCGCTTCCCATATATTTTTTTGCCGATCGCGTTTTTGTATTCGGGATTCGAAAAAATTACTTCCTTGTAACCTACCTACTTTGTTTAATTTCAATTTTTCCTATGAGTGAAGATAAATTAGTGAATGAAACTGCATATAACTTAGGTATTTAAACACTCGAGTCAAGTCAGCACTTATCATTCAGCTTCGCCTCAAGCGATGACCACTATCGTGTTTTAATATCCCTTCTTATGACAGTTAGATAAACTACTATTTTAAATACCTAATCAACCTAAAACGACGAAGTTATATATATTAGGTTTAATAATTATTCAACGATACCCCATTTTACACGGTCGATCGGTTTTGTTTTTCATTTTGATAATATGGCGTCTGGTAGTTGCTATGGTGATTTTAATTACTGTTATGTGTTCAGTGACACTCGCAAGGTCAAGGCAAATCGATTGACGTAAAAATCATCAAAATTGCCCAAGCCGTTTAGTCTCTACAATGTCATATAGGACATACATTCATAGGCACAAACACATTACCCTCTTTTGTGTTGCGTAGTCGGGTAAAAAGGGTTTAAGGTCAACCTGGCACGCGATTTTTGGTGCCAATAAGCTTTTAAATGAAACATAAATTACAAAACAGCCCACTGTTTGTGGCACAATTTGATTTATTCCTTGCTTAGTGTCACATCTTTACATTTTTCATAGTAGTTACACCTTAGTATAGTCAACTTCCACAAATACAACAATCGGAAAAACGGGTCAATTTGATCATATATTCTTTAGAGCAGCATATAACAAAACTACATTCAGTTAAAAAATAATGTCACTTTTAAATAATAGAATTTGTGCAATCGACTGACCAATTAAAGAAACCTAATATAAGTAAAATCAAATTAAAAAGGATACTTATCATTTTTGTATTTAAAAACAATTATGAAAATTTGTGCATATTACATCGTCCAATAATAAACAAACTAAAGGGAATGGTTCTTGTCAACAAAATCCAGTCCTCATCAAAACTGCTATTTTGTTATTTACATTATAAAGCCAATGGTTCATTAGAAATATTCTGTAGACATTGTCAGTAATACAAATTATTATGAGACCTTGACTATTTACAACTATAAAACTAATCAGCACTTTTAATGCCGCATCGCATATGTGGCTAATAATTCAGAGTTTGTACATAGTAAAATTTGTAACTAATTAAATTTATCACTCAATTGTGCCAACGGGAATAGTAACGTATTCAATAAGCTGCATTTGAATCTGTTAGTCCTGTTTTATAACAATAAAATGCATTTATAAAATATGCAGCCTTTTGCATTAAAAGATTAACTATTTCTGGTTTCAAATATTTTTTATATATTAGAGGGTAGTTGAGAAAAGGCGATTTTATTGAAATTATCCATTTTGCTGTATTCCTGTTGCTAGGCAACCGTTTCAGTTTCCATGGGCTCTTCAGTGCCAGTTTTCTTTTTCTTCTTCTTATTGGACTTGGCAGAAGAGTTGAGGATAGACTGCAGAAATTAAAATACAATTTGAAACAAATTCAAGTTTATCTCATTGGATAGAGGCCATAAATTACGTCACACAAAATTCAGGATTTTAACCCCCCCCGCCCTCTCCTGTCACCTAGTTATCTATATAAATTCCACTTAATATTGTTCTAACGTCACAGTTAGTCAACCCCCCCCCCCTCCTAAAGTGTGACGTAATTTATGGATGAACCTATATCTAACAGAAGATACGTCGCACAATAACACGCATTAATTTAAAAAGTGTTACTAGTTGTAGGAATTATTCAAACCAAAATGTAAGAGTAAACAAGTTGGCTCAAATTCATTTCAATTAATCTACCCTGCGCTTGTCCAAAAAATGCTATAGAGCTTAGTTTGAAAAATAACAGGGATAACAACAAATCAAGACCATTAACGCAATATTTTTTACAGAAAAAAATATGAACATTGCGATAGAGGTTAAGTGTTAGAATATGGACACATATCACAAATTCGCTTTAATCGCGAAGGATTTCGCGCTTTGTTTGTGCGCCAGTATTAATTCACACTTGGAATACAATAGCCAGTTAAAATATTCAAGTTACATTTAGTTCAGGATCCTTGATGCTACGATCACTCTTGCATTGACTCTTGTCAAACGGCAGCCCAGTAATACGATGTGTGCCACTTGGTAAGAGCAGCGCTGTGAATTTGAATTGCGCTACAACTTCTCCTGGACGCTCATATAACACCTATAAATAAACACATAACAATTTCAAATCAAATCAAATCTATTTATTCAGTCTAAGCTGTTACAAGCACTTGTGCAAATCCATTACCACAACAATCATTAAGTTAAATAAAGATTTCAAATTAGATATTTTGGTACATTTTTGTTAGTTTTTAAAACAAAGCTTTTTGTCATTTAACAGAGATAGGTATTATGGTTCCTGGACACAAAATATTGTAACTACAATGACTTACATATTTTTGAAAAACTAAAGTATTTTACGTTACTATTTTTAACTCAATATAAATAAGGGTCATTTTCACCTATTAATTTTACAGATAATAAAAACTTACTTGGAAAGGCTCAATAAGTTTATGATTAACACACTCCACCACACCCAACCTTGCACTTGTCTCCTTGTCAAAACTGCGTAGGTTGAAGGGCATGTTGCCATGCTTATTGCGAACCTAATCAAAACAATTTAGGTATTATTACAAGGATAAATCTTTTTCACTAATTTTTGTATATACTACAATAAAAAGAGAAGCAATGGTATTATATATTAAACATGTTGTAATGTTCTATACTAATGCACTCTCAAATACATTAGTTCAAACACATTACACTAATATTCCCAGAATCACAAATGCCATACCCTCTCAAGAGTAAGTAAAAACTCTAAATTCTGGGCTTTTAACATCAATAATTTATTTGTACTAACCTCACTATAGAACATTCTTGAAGCCTTCAATTTTAATTGATATATTTCATCCGTTTTCTTGTATATTGTACACCTAGTATCCATCTCACGGCCCTGACAAATAATATAATGATAATGTTAAACTTTCATGAATATATCATATAGACAATATATATGGCAGAGTGAATTGCATGCCAGTATCAAGGTGTGACCACTGAGATCCTAGGTTTAATTCCAATTTGAGTGAATGTAGTAAATGAACTTTTCCATGTTGTCTCTGGTGTTGTAGTTGCTTCATTGTTTCATATTTCCTTAAAGAAGTGTTTTATCTACTTAGAATGTGAGCAATACATGTGATATTGACTATAATATTTATCATTTGTATGTCTGTCAGTAAATAAAAAACTAAAATGAAATACAGTTCAGATTAGTTAAGAGTTCTACTGGATGATCTGCCCTGGGTACTGCCAGATAAGTGAAAGTAAAACTTATTTGGAAAGAATCCAGGGATTCAAAAATAGAAAAAAATATCTTACTAATTTACAATATACTCACAACACCTTCTCCAGTTGAAATGAGAACATCCATAGCATAAACTTCATAAGTTTCTAAAGTAGCTTTCTCATGTTCCTTACGCTGCGCCTCAGAGGGATTCTGTATAATACTTTTTTCACCATCAATGCGAAATTGTTTTAGTTGATGAGAAAGCATGCCCTCAATGGGTTTACATCCATATTCTGCACTTATTTTCTGGACAACTTCAGTTATAGCTGTGTTCTAGAAAACAAACAAATGCATAAACAAATGTACTATTTGACAGAAAATATAAAATTAAAAAATTATAATAATATTTAATGAAAATGGAAAGTTAAATAAAACAATAATAACAATGTTGTTTTACAATGTTTTCATTTGCAGAATGGATCAACAAATGTTGAAATAATGTTAAACAATCCTTTTCCCTGTGCTTGTACCAATACCATTACAAAAATGATACAGGAAAGATTCAGGGTTCAAAAACCAGATATATATATATATATATATATATATAGATATAGTGATGAATGTTTATTATTAAAGGTGGTAATCTTTCAAAATATTAATCGAATCTTTTCACCCACAGGAATATAGACTAGACACAAGCTATAATTTACCCAGGAAAAATCACAAGATAACAGCTAGTTTTTTATAAGTTATTTAACAGGATACCTCATTGCCAGGTCTCAATAGTCTTAATGCAGCTTCACTAGCATGGTGGGCTGCTAGGAGCACATCCGCAGCACGTCCGGTCACCTCTCCACCTCCCACTGCTACAGTGTGGGCGACGACAGCAATGAACCCATCAATGTGTGCACCTAAATCACTACAAAATATTATGACTTAAAAAAAATTAGTAAGACAGTTATTGGAAAAGTTTACATGTAACTAAAGAAGGAAGTTCTGTAATCTAAAGAATTTCTAATAGTATATTTTAAAAACGCACTGGCAGCTATCTTAATATTGGAATAGACAGATGAAAGAAAATGATAATCAGAATGCAGAGATAAATACTTACATCTTCGCCAAATCTCCTTGTTTCAAGATATAATCTGTCTCACTTGGAATAGGTGAGAAATGACAAATACAGTTATTTACAGACACACATGTTGAAAACGCTATGCCCTTTTTAGAATCCTTCTCTTTTTTGAAAACCTTAGAAGTCTCTTCCAAGATTAACTTATCTCCAAACTCGCATATTTCACGAGCAGAGGCGTCAGGGACGCATTTCGCTATTACTTGCTCCAAAACACCTTTAACAAATAAAACTCATGGTTAGGTAAGTAATCCAATTGACTACAACATTATGTGAATGAACCAGGGACAGCGGCACCGCATGGCGATGACACGCGTCCGACTACAAAGCAGTCTCAACTTGACACGCAACACTTGTACCGACGTATTCTAATAATTTAACAAATATTATATCTCTTACGATTCACAATTTGTCCAGCGAGTTTATACTTGGTAACAACCAAGTCTTCTGCGATAGTCTTTTCCGCTTCTTTATCGTCAGCCATTTCTCAAAACTGTGGGTTGTTTGATAGAAAGGTTATTCCATTGGTTATTCGCTGTTCAGCGATTGGTTGTTGTGTTGTCAGTCACGTGACCGGATCTAAATATTGTTAAATGGCGGGAAAACAAAATAGCACAAAACAATATAAGTTAAAAGTTTACAATTTGACCCGTTTTAACATTTTTATCTATACTAATATTATAAAGTTGAAGAATTTGTTTGTGTGTTTGAACGCGCTAATGAGATTAGCGCGTTCAAACACACTGGAACTACTGGTTCGAATTGAAAAATTATTTTTGTGTTGAATAGACCATTTATCGAGGAAGGCTTTAGGCTTTATAACTTAACGATGCAACTATTAGGAGCGAAGAAATAATGGAAAACGCGGACGAAGTCGCTGGCGGCCACTAGTTTCTCATAAAATGATGACATACCTTTGTCAACATACCATGTCATTTTAAATAGTAGTCATCAGAAGTTCCACTATAAGTAGTAATTTTTGATTATATTGCAGTAGGCATGACTTATGTATGCAGTAATATCAGTACTTGAACTGTACAAGTCTTGTATTGCTTATCATTATAAAAGAGCACTCCGTACTAGCACATTTCGTTCATTGAACTAGTTCCGTCTTATAGTTCTATTCTAATGGGTCAGTGGTGATTATTAGTAACACTAGGCAGAATAGAACTGAAACTCGTTTGGATCGATTAAAATTCGTTTGGTCGAGCATTGAATTTTATAGGGCTGTAACTATTTTTTTTTTGTTTGTCCGTCAGAAAAATTATTGAAGAGTATTAAATTATTATTACTGTAAATTTATGCTTGTATATTTTTCTTTGTGGTGTACAATAAAGTGTTCATTCATTCATTGATAATGACACACATGACACGGTTTTCCCGTTGAACTTACTATGTATATTTTTTTACCCAAAACTATGTTTAAATTTAAGTGTTTAAAAAAATGGCGTAAACAGCGAATAAGAGGACGTGAAATCATTTATGGCATACCAGCATACCAGACTAATTAGCTTACCGGAGCACAGTCTCGCGAAAGCGTTGATTGTGTGCGTTTATGTACCATAATCATTTTAAATATACGAATCTGTAGAAACAATATAAGTAAGTCTTCTAAAGACAGAGGGGTCATATATCAGTCGTAAATACATTTTTAATGAGAACTTATTTAAAAAAAATAAAACAGTAAAAAGCACCTCACTAGATAGCGACTCTATCAAAATTCTGCAAGAAACGATTGGACCAAATATAGTAATTTCCGTTCTTTTTAACTAACATATTAAAAAACTGATATTTGCAAAGTTCGAAACTTAGATAGTAATATAAATACGAAGAAGTACAAATAGAATATGATAAGCATATAATATGAGTTGTTTTTTTTTAATATTACAATTAGATATGTTGGTTTTTTATGATATCGATATATAAATATCGCTGTTTATTAAATATATAAATAAAATTTCAATATATTGTTCTTTGCACCTACAGACAGAAAGACCTCTGTCATCAAAGTCATATAAACGCCAATTTACTTATCCCATGATTTGGCTGTATCACTTCTACTTGTTAGAGCCTAGGTTGTTGGAACAGAGGTTTATATACCTAGTTTCATAATTAATCTTGACACTGTCATTTAGCTTAATGGTCTTTTTCTTTTGTTCTGTTATTTTCACGCTGAACCACATCACTACTACTACTACAGTACTTATTGTTAATCTGATTTGTGCTTTATAGCCATGGTCACAAAGTCAAATAGTTTATAGTTTCTTTTCTCTGTAGATAATATTATTAACCTTTTTATTTGGTCTGAGTTATTAACTATATTTTTGTGCTAACACAAATATAAAAACTTTGGATGAAGGCGTTACCTGTTATTTTTGAGTGTTTTGTAATATTTGTCCTAAAATAATGGCAAATTCTTTAGACCTGTTATCAATGCTCAAAGAGAAAATAAATTTTGGTGAAGATCTAATGTTGCGATTAGAAGTGGTAAAGAAAATAGATGGAGTTTCAAAATTACAAAGGAAAATTCGTCAGGAAGTAGAGTTTTTGAAAAGAGTATGAATTTAAATCATCTTTATGTCGAATTTACTTACTTAATGCAAGACACTTATAATTTACTTTTAAAGTTGCAGAGGAATAAAATGATCAAACTTGAACAGCTATCTTGTTCGAATCTTAGGCACTTGGGTGCAATGGTTGATCGTACTTTAAAACCAGGTGTACTTGCAGTCTGTAAAATATTTCATATAAATGACGAAAGCAAATTACTTATTGATATAATTAGTGATGAAGGAAAAACATGGACTAAAGGTGAACTAACAATTTTAATGAGTGAAATGATAAACTGAATTTGATTTTATTAAATATTTTCATCCTTTTAGTAATAGCCCGCAATCCTAAGTCTCTCACCGCATTGAGCACTGGCAAAGCGTCATATGGTTCTCGCTCAATTTTAGATCAAGCTGAAGATTATTTGGAATGTGCTGAACTATATCCATGCATGTATAAATCTCCAAAAGTATGTATACTCAGTTAAATTAGATTTTAATTCCTTATTTCTTAGGTAAAATTATCGTATAAAATATATGGTGCTTTCAGTGGCTCAGTGGTAATTGAGTGCTTCAGACTGCTATTTATATAAATTTATGAGCTATATTTGTCAATCTTTTTTGGTCATGGATATACTAGCATTGTTAGTGCTCACCAGTTGGTAAATTAGGCTATCACATTTTCCCATCTGTAGAGTTAGGCTCCCCTTCTGGATTGAGAAAATTATAAAATCTCTACTGATTATTCTCCATAACTTAAGTTTTTATGTTTTATATGGCAAAAAGTCTTTGTATGAGACATGTTTAATTCTCAATTCAGAAACCTGTAGTATCAGCGCAGCAGCTTAAACTGCGGCATATTGCTGAGCATAAACATTTTTAGTACCCACTTTTAAACAATCTATTATCATACTATTAATGTTATGTACTTGTAATTTGGTGCTAAATAAATACTTTTCTATTCTTATATGTGTCTAATAGTTTAGTAAAATATTATATGGAAGGTTCACAGGTTATTTGTATTATTAGCTTTTCATTTTGTAGGCATATCGCATATGGACATATCGCACGTTGAGAATGATAGTGACACAAACAAAAAGTGCGATTTTGAGTAATGAGCGTTTAAAGTTCAAGAAAGTAATCAGCTCCTCTAAACAACGTATCGTCACTACGCCACCTAGCAGTTTCTATGCAAGTTCACCGGGATTTTTGCATTTTAAAATTTATTGGTAACAAAGAAAAATGTTGCCAAAAGTAAAAAATATGTCGTTTTTGGTTAGTGACATTGTCATTCTCAATGTGCAATATGTACTGTTGTTTCAAGCACCATATACATTCTGATTGCCATGAAACAGGGCTCAAATGATGTGTCAGACAAAACAGACTGTATAACATCAATATTTTTATGCAATCATCTTAATAATTAATATGACTGAACATCATCCTGGGTAATTTTAATACAAATACCTGTTGATGTTTCTATATTCTCTTATAATTTTGCAGAATTTTCATAAGCATATAAATTATTATATTATTTTAGGTAATATTTGAATTCACAAGTGGAATAGAACAGAGTTTGGCAAATAAATTAAAAGTTATTGGTGTTCATGTACAAGGTGATATACTCCCTGACTCGCATACTGGTGATGATTGCAATGACTCTAGTGAATCTACTTCAAGTGATGAAGAATTAATGTGTAATAATAGGTAAATTTTTATGACTACTTTTATATCAATTAGCAAGGTTTTAATCCTACAAATTTAATTTATAGCTTGTTGTATAGTCCTTGTCATATAAGCTCAAAAAAGGGTCACAGAGAAAGAGAATATTCTGGAAAGTTAATTTTGGCATTTTATTAATTGCATAAATTCTGCTGTGCAAAATTGTAATTATAGAATTTTCCAAAACATTTTTATAATATTTTGATAGATATAAAAAGCCATGTCACTCAGGGTTTCATGTATTTCCACAATATGCTGGACAGGGTCATTGGCATACACTTTGGTAGGGCAACCAAAGACCCTGTACAGTGTTAATTAATTGGTTAAAAAAAGAAATTCTATTTAATCCATCAGTCAGTTAATTGAAAAATATTAGATACATATTTTTTTTTACTTCAATTTAACTAGAAATAGCTTAGATATCGGGAATAAAAGTGGGGGCTCGCTACGTCACAGTTTTGTAAAATATGAACCTAAGCATGACGACATGTGACATTTTAACTCAATGCATCGCCGTAATTTAATTATTGCGAAAAAACCATGTTTAATATTTTTCAACAATCTACCTGACGGACCAACAAACAAAAATTAGTCGTCATCCCTTATTATTTCGTAATCGATCTTTAGATGACATTGTTCTTGTTTTATTGACATCTGTTTGGTGTAGATATCAGAATGACGGATAGCGTTACCGCGGTTTAAAAAAAGTTAATATTTTGATTTAATTGTAAGGCAAGAAAACGTGTTTATTTTTCCGATATATCTGTTTTATGGCTTTTTTTTTAAATTAAAAATAAACAGTATTATTTCAAACAGAGTAGAATATCCTATTGTTATTTTTTTCTTCCATTTCTGTTATGGAATGTTTTATGTTTGTGGGTCAATTAATGTGTTTTCTTTCCTTTTTTTCTTTATCGTAGCGATATAAGTTTTATATGTATTAAACTTACATATGTATGTTTAATCATTGTTTTAGTGATGAAAATAACTTTGAAGATGTACCACCACAATGCATTCAGGGTCATTCAGAACTTACAACACTTAACTTAGACGTGACAGCTATGATGGCATATATCAGTAATATGACAAATGGACATTGTAATTATATTTTTAAACAAGACGTTCTAACTCAGCAGTCTGCATGGGAGGCAGAGCGTCCAGTCAAACCAATATTAGACAGGTTATTCGAAGGTAACTTGAATAATTTCTATCGCTGTTGTTGATATGATTTTCCATTTTGCCAAAATTTTCGTCCAGTTTCCGTGCGAAATTGAAGCATTTTGCTATAAATACCGAATTGACATGATCATGCCATAAATTTGGATATTCTTTATTTATACTTTGTATATCAATTTCTATTACCAGAGCAGATGGCACTTCTACTAAACTGATGTATTAATTTGGCAGGTGAAGGAAAATTTGTTTCCCGTTTTGTATAAACTGAATCGGACCTCTACCGCTCGCGCGTCTATCTTTCTGGTCACAACATGCGCACGCTAAACTATTATTTTTGGATTAAAAGTTAAATAAAATTTCGATTACCTTTTCAGGTTTTATTTCATTAAGCTCTGTGCAACGCTGCACTCGTTGTCTAGTTCAAGGATGTTTTTTAACATAATTATAGCTGATTGATTGATTTAAAAGAACTGTTACATAATATCACATTTTTGCTAAAAATAAACAAATTTATTAATTTTTTTTTTTTTATAAGATTTGTCTTTTTTTAATAAGGAAAAACGCTTGTGTGCTGTAAAACAGCATGGGATGATTTTGAAACAATCGTAGAGAATCTAGGTGGTACAATGGAGAAAAAAAGGGCCTCAAATCTGAAGAAAATCGTTACGATTTTTCCTGATGATCATAATGGTACTATTTATTACAATCCTATTGTTTATTTAGACTAACTAATAACATGTAACCTTATTTTCTGTTTATTTGTTTTAGGACCAAATGATATTTCACGTCAAAATTTGAAGGTCAGAGGTCATGTTCGATTAAGATCGAAAATAATATTTAATTTTGGACATAGAATCAAGGCACTTACTGTTTCTGCTAATGAAGGCTTCCTTAGGGCTGCGTTGCAACAGGTAAATAATATTTCTTTTACTAGACATTTATTTAGTTGGTTTGGCATAACTTAATTATGTAATAATCATTTAACAGAAGACAGTGACCAAGAGAGTTCAGATAATGTTTTATTTATTTGTATGTTTGAATATAAAAATTCGAACCATTTTTTTCACTAAAAGTCCTATATGATTATTCTTTTCAGGGTGTGACGTATGCTGCATTCATTCATGAGTCTCGGGCACTCACAGAGGGAAAACAAAACAGTGCCATCCAAACATCATGATGTTAATTTCAATTTGTGATAGCTATTTTTACATGTTTTATTACTTATAATTTGTTTTAAATTGTGATTTTGTTGTTTTGTAATGCCCACTCCCTCCATACTGTGATTGTATAAAGTGATAATAAAATAATAAGAAAAAGAACCTTTTTAACGAAACCGGAATTAACGGAAAGTTTCTATCGACTAGGAAAATGCAAGTCATAAAAATTTTGCCTTTATTGTAAAATAATATATTAATAGACGAGTAACGGTGGTGTAGCCTGCGATCGTTGTTGTTAAGCAACTTTCGCAAGGATTGCTCACGGAATTGATGATTAAATAATTATTATCTTGAGTTACTCTGTGCTTAGAAAGTCACATTAAGTCGTTAGCTGTATTTTTATAGTTAGCCGAGCGATGGTTTCGTTCCCTCCATCACGAGAAAATATAAACAAATGAATTTGCGATACAAATAAACTAAAGCGGGGAACTCACTAAACAGGCATACCCGCGGGCAAGTCTGCCGGGCATGTCCGTCGTTCACAACACATTACAGACTCGTCAGTTAGTGTTCGACGCACTAAGCGACTGGTTGTGTAATCAGTGCATATTACAACTCCGTATTAATAAACTCCTTGTTTTTAACCTTCCATAAATGAGGATATTTATTTATAAAATCTTCCCAAAATTGTTTATTTTTATTAAAACTTATTTCGTTTCACGTTACCTACAAATTTCGTCAAAAACGAACGTTCGTAACGCTCGCTGTCCGGCTCGGGTCTGAGCAGTCGGCCCGCGGTGAGCATTCACCTACAGACTTGTCTGTCCGCGCAGACAAAATGAGATCTCTCGGACGGGCGACGGGCAATCTGCCAGACTGCCTGTGACGAACCTACACTAGGCAGACATGACACAGACCAATAGTAACGAGGTTGCCCGCGGGCATGCCTGTCTAGTGAATTCCCCGCTTAAAAGTTTACATTCCTAATTTAAATCGGTAAAGTAACATTTTATTATATTTTTTCAGTAAAAAGTTTGTCTCAAAACTTATTTTCAAGGTATTTGAAGTCGTTAAATCCACATTGCGAGGAGTGGAGGGTCATAGTCCATTCTCCTTAACCATCCATGAGTTGGTGATATAAATACGGTGTTAAGAGTCCGCTTTAAAAACGTGTTGTACGTTAAAATTTACAAAAAAACGATACGTAGGGATTGCGCAATCGCTATCCACCTAAATAGGAGCCATTTTACTCGTATTTTGGGACACAAAAAAACTTGTTTTATTTTCAATTATTTATTGGTGGTCGACATAATATGTATGCTTTTTCATGAGTCTCGATGAGCCGTTATCTCAACATTCACTCCTTGCACATGCTTGCCCAAACTCTTTGTAACATGCAAATAATCTCTTCTCTAAAGTCCTCCTAATATTTCTTTCACTCGTGCGCAAATATATGAGTAGTATTATTGCGCTTGTATAAATACATCAAAAGAAAGAACCTATTTTACATTTTAGGCTTTTTACTTGGCTCGATGCAATCGTCGATTTAACGTACCAATGAAGCGCCATGCAATTCGACCGATTTAATTAAGATCCGTATACCGAACAAGTTTATCTAAATTCAATTTATTTTTATTTATGAAGTATAAAGTGTGTGTGTTTACAGTAACGCGTGAACGTTGATCTGCGATTATGAAGATTAACCGACGTTCGCAAAGGCCTGTAATCGAATATTCCGATCCACCCCGCTTAGCTATATAAAAAAATCACTTTTTATATGGCTAAGCGGGGTGGATCGGAATATGCGTTGCGGGATAGGGCGAGGTGGTGCAGAGCGGAGAGGGTGAATTAGAAAAAAATTTGGTCACCCATCCGATTACCGGCCTTTGCAAACGTCTCTTAACTTCTGCAATCGCAGATCAAACGAGTTAACTACTTCAGCAGCGAGCCAATACACCCAGCATTCCTCGCTGGGTCCGTGTGAAGGTCCCAATGAAGATTGGTGGTGCTAAATCACAGATATTTGACCACCCATCCGTAGTCCGTCCTTCGCGATTGTCGATTCCGTCCTTCGCGATCATCGCTTACCCTCCGCAAACGTAGATTACATAGATAGGCGTCGATTCGTGCTATATCGCTCATTGATGTCGATTACATTCAATTGAGCCATGAGTAAAGAGCCTTAGGTAATATCAAGGAAAGGAACATACCTACCGATAGAGTATTATTTTGACTAGGGCGAGTCGTATCATCGTATGCTCGTATACTCGTATCCATATAAGTATTCATATAGCGGAGTTCTAGCAACTTTCGAACACTATCAAGGTTCTCCTAGATGCAATATAATTTGTAGATCTAATACCAAAAGTAATTTAAAGAAGTTTAAAAACAATGTTTCTGCAAATCAGATTCAGTTGACAGCTAGTAATTTGGAATATATAAATGACGTCTATAATATTTTTATAAATAAATAAATCAAGAAACGGGGAAAAATAAATGTAATATGCGCACATTCTCAAGTACTCACTAGAGGTACTCATTAGAGGTTGACAATAAAGTTATTAAAACAGAAGAAACGGTTGCCGATACATTTGAAATATTCTTTTCTAAGACACCAATAGAAATCACTAGAAATTTTAGTTCATATTCTAGACTTGCGGTTACTCATCTAGAGTCAGTTGTTGATAAGTGCAATACTGAATTTTATTTTAGACATATTAACGACAACTCAATTATTAAAACATTCAATTCCATTGTAGTAAAAAAAACCGAAGACGTTTGGGGCGACCTTTGCTGCTATAATACCATCTATAGCGCCTCAATTAACTTTTATTTTTAACTAGCTGACCCGACAGACTTCGTCCTGTCAAAAAGATTTGTAATGTGGCAGTTTTTTTCAAATATAAATTATTTTTTCACTAATCACGAACTAAACAAACACTAACTAAGTAAACACTCTGCACAAAACACGATATACGAATTTGTTTCGTGTATCAGTTGACAAAAGCAAACTCAGTAGATTAGGTCACAGACAACTTTTTTTTTTTTTAAATTTGATTTGACTTGAAGTCAAATCCTTTTAAGCCGTACGAATTGTTTTATTGATTTAAAATTTGGATATTAAAAATAATAAAACACTGTTGGTGACGCGATTTTTGTTTGACTGATGTAATGACGTGGAAACTGATGCATTTTATCTCGCGTGCCAAAACTAATACAAAAGAAACGCGAGTTTCGGAACGCGACATTAAACTCCTCCAACTATGTATTCTGTGCTCCAACGCACACACGCACATTGTTTTGATAGATATGATCTTTGACGTTAGGAACACACCTACATTGCTTAGACAACAGTGAGTGCTTGTAATTTAATATGAACTTTATACCATAGCAATAAAGCTCAAATTGACTACGTTTTAGTTACAAATCATTTGTATGGGAAAAAGAAAAGGGCTATTTTTAGGGTTTTTCCAGCAATAATTCTAATTTTTCTCGCCGTAAAAACCATCCTTGAACTTCAACGAACATTTTAAAAAAAGATTTGGCCAAATTGGTCGAGGCGTTGTTGAGTTATGCGCTTACCAACACATTTTGCGATTCATTTTTATATATATAGATAAATGCATTGATGAAGGAACTTTTCCTGATTTAATGAAATATAAAATAATCTCACTTTTCAAGGCAGGTGTCTGATCCCAGTAATTTACAGTAGACCAATATCTATAATACCAGCGCTAAGTAAAGTATTTGAGAAAATTTTCTATAATCAACTGCTTGCACACTTTTCGTTAAATAAATTACTTCACAAAAATCGGTTTGGTTTTAGCAGAGGTAAATGTACCACAGACGCTGCAATTGCACCTCTGAGACATATCTATGATGCTTGGGAGGATAAACAAGATGCTATCGGCATTTTTTGCGATCTGTCGTTCGCATCGAAAAGCATTCGATTGCGTTAGTCATTAAACACTGTTGGTTAAATTAGAGCATTATGGTGTGAGGAAAAATTCACTTAATCTAATACAATCATATCTTTCTGCTAGAATTCAAAAAGTAGTAATTAATGAAGCGAAATCAGTAGGGGCACCCATTACTATGGGCGTACCTCAGGGATCGGTATTAGGACCATTGCTTTTTCTAATTTACATTGACGATCTTCCTCACTTTACGAAGAATTTGTGTGAGACAGTATAATTTGCTGATGACACCTCTTTTGTGTTTAAAGTTAAGAGGGGTAATGATTGTTTTGATGATGTAAATGATGCTCTCGACAAAGTTCTACAGTGGTTTGATAATAATAATTTAAAGCTTAATTCAAATAAAACGAAATGCATAAAGTTTGCATTACCTAATGTGAGGCATGTTAGTATACTTATAAATGTAAATAGTGAAAAAGTCGAGTTGGTGGAATCGACCAAGTCCTTTGGTATTAAACTAGATTCCCGACTGCAATGGGATCCTCATATTGATAACTTGTCAAGTAGAATGAGTTCTGCAGCATTTACTGTTAAGAAAATTAGACTCTTGACAAATGTTGAAACGGCAAGATTGGCATATTTTAGATATTTTCATAGTGTAATGACGAATGGTCTATTGTTGTGGGGATCAGCGGCTAGCATTCAAGATATTTTTATTCTACAGCTGAGAGCTGTCCGCGTCATATATAATTTACGGACTAGAGAATCTCTCAGAAAAATATTTAAAGAAATAAATATTTTGACTGATGCCTCTCAATATATCTATGAAAATATTATGTACGCAAGAAAACATTATGATTCCTTCACAAAGAAAAGTAGTGTTCATAATCTTAACACAAGAAATAAAAATAAACTTACCGTTCTAAGCTTCAGACTTCAGAAAACCAGAGGGTCATTACTGAGTAAATGCATTGCTATTTTCAGTGAAGTTCCACAAAATGTAGTTGACCTACCCATAAATAAGTTTAAAATTCATGTAAAGAACATACTTATGAGTAAAGGCTATTATAAAGTTTATGATTATTTTAAGGACCGCAATGCATGGAATAAATAGCCTTCGCTTTGTTCTATAACGACTATTTATATGTACAAACTATGATCTAAAGACTTTGAAAGTTGTGTTTATTATTGTGATAATACATATTATTTTGGTAATGACATGATTTTGTAAATGTCATTACTAATGATAAAGAGCTGGTAAGTTTCTTTCGCTTGTTCTTCTTGTCAGATAAAAGACGTCCTGAACAAGTGGTAGGGGCAAATATAATTTTTTGGACGATTCAAAAGTGCTTGTAACAAGCTTACTTGAATAAAGATATATATATTTATGAAAATATCGACTTCGAATTGATATAATTATCTACATATTGATATGTAAAAAATACTCAATCTTTCAGAGAATATTTAGTTCAATTTGCGTGGTACCTCGGAATGGAAATCCATGTCGGCTTTGTAAGTAATTCGAGATCAGAGGTCTCTTAAATACTTGATGTCTTTTGTGCTCTTAATCTCAATCAATGGAGAGCTAGTAGCACTAACGCTCATCTATGCTATATGGAAGTTCAAAAGAGAATTTCGATAGAAATTAGGTTGTATAAAGTTAGTAAATTATAATAATAATAAACGTTTATTCAGTTCACAAGGTTTTTTTACAATTATGAATTATCAAAATATAGTTAAAAAACAAGATTTTTGTAGGTATTAGTTTGAATTTTACATTAAAGAAATTGTACAGGACATTAATTGCTAAAGTACACCGTTGCTGAATGCAGCATTACTAATTCAAAAACAGAAGAACGCACAAAATGTATTTAGAAACAGATTTGTTATTAACTTTAAATAAGTGTAATATCTAAATAAATGACGCCACAAGCATAATTGCACAATATAGAGTGTCTTTCTTTGAACTGAAAAATATAGAAACAAATCAAGTTCAATTTCCGAGAATAAACAAATGAAGCAAACTCTCTCATTTTTAATCATTTTTATCGACTTTATCCACTTGAGTAAAGCGAAGAAAGCTAAGCCCACTACACTACTATAGCCATCGTCGTCTGTATATATACACATAAAAAGTTATAATAAAAAACTTATTGATGACATTGTTTCACAAACCTATCGGTTTGTTTAACCTAAGATTTGGCTGTATGGCTTAGTTCCTTCGCCTGTCTCATGGACGAAGCTACTACTACTATCGGTTTGTTTACTTTATTTATTTGTGTCAGTTTGTAGTTTTGAAAAGAGTAGTACGATAAGCAATTTATATATCTTGTAATTGTGTGTACTATGTTGTAAAAATCTTAATTAAATATATTTTATTTTTTGACCTTAAATTTTCTGCAAAATGGAAAATGTTGGAGAATTGATAGATTCTCAATTTTTATCAGAAAGTGTTGGTTTTTTAGAAAATTGTTTTGAAAACTCCTTCACGGTTTTGCAAACATCATTGAAGGCGGTGAAAGAATATTTAACTGAAGAAACACAGACTGAATTGCCATTAAAAAAATCCACTTCTATAAGAAAAGCAAATCAGTCCATCTTTTACAAATCAACCCTTGAGAGAAATGATAAAAATAAGTTGAATCGAACTGAGAGTGGGTTAGAAAATATTAATGTAAAACATCAAAAATTAAAAGACTGGGGCTTACCAGAAGAAATAGCCATGAAATATGAAAATAGGGGTGTTACTAAAATGTTTGATTGGCAGGTTACTTGTCTCAGTAACCCAAAAGTACTAATGGACTGCTGTAATTTAGTTTACTCTGCTCCCACCTCAGCTGGGAAGACTCTTGTAGCTGAAATTATTACTATTAAAACTATATTGGAGCGTCATAAAAAGGTGATATTTATTGTGCCTTTTGTTTCTATTGTGAGAGAGAAAATGTTCTATTTACAAGACATCCTGTCCTGTTCAGGAATTCGTGTTGAAGGTTTTATGGGGTCTCAGTCTCCACCAGGAGGACTGCATGCTGTTCATGTAGCTATTTGTACTATTGAAAAAGCGAATGGTTTAGTAAATAGACTTCTGGATGATGGTAGTATATCAGAATTGGGTGCCATTATTGTCGATGAGCTTCACTTGCTTGGTGATCCACACCGTGGTTATATACTGGAACTTCTCCTTACTAAAATTAAATATATTTCTATGAAATTAGAAGATACTCAAATTCAAATTGTTGGAATGTCAGCTACATTACCAAATTTAAAGGTGTTGGCTAATTGGTTAGAAGCTGAGCTTTTCATAACACAATTTAGACCAATACCTCTAGATGAATATTGCCTTGTAGGCAATAAGTATTACAATAAGCATGGAGAATATTTGAAATTTATTGATGAAACCTCTGCCACAGAGGACAGTGACAATATATTAAAAATATGCCTAGATACTATCAGAGAAAATTGTTCTGTTTTGATATTTTGTATGACAAAAAATAGATGTGAAAATTTAGCTCAAAATTTATCATCCTCTATTTTTAAAATAGGGTGTTCAGGAAGCGACATGGGTATTGTTCTTAGAAACCAATTAGATACTGATAATATTTCTGAAATGCTAGAACAGTTAAAAAATTGCCCTGTAGGCTTAGACCAAGTTTTGAGGAATACAGTATCATTTGGAGTGGCTTACCACCATGCAGGACTTACATTTGATGAAAGAGATATCATTGAAGGTGGATTCAAATCAGGAGCCATAAGAATTTTAGTAGCTACATCTACATTGAGTTCTGGTGTTAATTTACCTGCTCGGAAAGTAATAATAAGAACTCCTGTATTTCAAAGGCAACCAATTAATATTCTTACTTATAAACAAATGGCGGGTAGAGCTGGAAGGATGGGGAAAGACACAAAAGGAGAAAGTATATTAATATGTACTGAAGCAGAGAAGAAAATTGGTTTTGATCTGATGATGGGAGCTCTAGCTCCAGTTAAAAGTTGTATACAAAGTGAAGACAAATTTATGAGAGCTGTTCTTGAAATGATAGCAAGCCAAATTGTCTGTACTGAGTCTGAATTGGAATTGTATTCTAAATGTACTTTGCTATTTGCAGAACAAGAGAGTAGCATGTCAGATGGTATTCTTTTAAGTGCAACATTAAAGGAATTGATGAATTATGAGCTTGTAAGAATGCAGAAAAATGGTGAAGATACACAATATGTGGCTACTGCTCTTGGTAAAGCTTGTCTTTCATCATCAATGGCCCCCAATGATGGACTATCTTTGTTTTGTGAGCTGCAAAAAGCTAGACAATGTTTAATGTTGGAAAATGATTTTCATTTGATTTATTTGGTTACACCTTATAGTGTAAGCAATCAGTGGAGTGAAATAGATTGGCTACATTTATTAACTTTATGGGAATCATTGACTAAAGGGATGAAAAAAGTTGGAGAATTGGTTGGTGTTCAGGAAAGCTTCATTATACGCGCTTTAAGAGGAGGTAAAAAGTTTGATAATTCTCAACAAAAACTTAATATACATAAGAGGTAAGTAAAATATGCATTTGATATTTTATGATAAGACTACACTAATTTGTTTGTTTTTTTTTTATTCACATTACTGTTAATTAACTGACTTATTATTTTGTTTCTAAGGTTTTATACAGCATTAGCTTTACAAGATTTAGTAAATGAAATGCCTTTATCTCAAGTTGCAGCTAAATTTCAATGTTCTAGAGGATTTCTGCAAAGTCTTCAACAAGCTGCAGCTACATTTGCAGGTATAACAGAACTCAGTAAAAACAAATAAGTTGTACTACCAAATAGGCAATTGTATATATTACTTATTAGTTTTCAATTTTAGGAATGGTAACTGCTTTCTGTAATCAATTGGGATGGAAAAATATGGGAATGTTGGTATCACAATTTCAAGATCGTTTACATTTTGGGATACAATCAGATTTAATTGAATTGATGAAATTGCCATCTTTAAATGGTGTAAGAGCCCGTAGTCTATTTGATAATGGTTTCGAAACAGTTTCTAGCATTGCAACTGGAGATGTTCACAGAATAGAAAATGCCCTATATAAATCAGTACCCTTTCAAAGTGAGAAACTAAGAGATGATGATGACAATGAAGATTTCAGAAAACGTAATAAGATTAAAAATGTTTGGATTACTGGAAATTGTGCAGTGACAGCTAAACAAGCAGCTGAGATTTTAATAATAGAAGCTAGAAAGTATTTAGAATATGAAATTGGTATATCTAATATAAAGTGGGAAAAAAAGAATTTAGTCGAATTTGAAAATAACACCTGTTCTAGTTTAAGCAGAACAGATGTAAGAAAAGATGCTTGTAGCTTAAATTGTATAGAACAAGTAGTTGGTAATACAATTAGTACAGATAATGGACTCAAAATAACAACAGAAAACGCTGTGTCCTTACATTCATTCAGTGTTTCTTTGGCTAGTGCTCATACAAAAAATCATGACATTGACGATAGTAATTTAAGAGGCCAGATATTAGATGGAAGTGGTGATGTTAATAATAAAATTAACAATGATAATACTTTTTGTGATGATGTGAAATGTATAGAAAATTTGAATAATAAGAGTGGGGTTACTCAGGATAGAAATAATACTACAGATAATTTTAAAAATCATGGAACGCCTTTAAAAGCTATAAAAAAACATGTGACTAAGGAAGATATTACATGGGAATCTCTTAATTTTACCGAAATTCCAATTGGGGTTACTAAAAACATTAAAGACAGTCAAATGTTAAATAACCAAATGTTTTCACCAAACATTAGCCTAGATGGTGTAGAAGAAAGATTTGAATTCAAAGATTTTGAAAGGGCATCGACATTAAAATTGTCATCTAAAGATTTAAGTCTCTTTTCTTCTGATGGTGATAATTCTAGTTTATTTGAAGATAGTCTACCTCTAGATTTAATACCTAGTAAACTGCTTAACAATGTGGATGAAAATGTTGATAAGCAAACCTTAAAAGGAAATGAAACCATGAATCCGATGGATATTATTTTAAATGAAATAGATGAAGATGAAAATATTAAATTGGTTTATGAGGATGAAAAGAATTCAGAAAATAAATATGATTCTGGATTTAACATGTCCATTGATATAGATGAAATTAATACTCAAGAGGTGAAAGATATGTCAATAAAACATTGTTTTGTTAGTCCATATAAATATTACAGAGACATTAGTAATGAAGATAGTTCAATGCAACCACCGAAAAAAGTAAAAAGGAATGATTCTTTGACAGTTAACAGAACACAAAAACGAATGAATATCCCCAACGTGAAAAATAGTTCATCAAAAAAGCTTACACTAAGTGTCAATAATATTAAATTCCAATGTTATGTGCTGAAAGAAAAAGATATTATGGATAATATAAATATTTTTGATCAGGTTGACAATGTGTCAGTTTATATAGATGTGAAAGATAATTTACCTTGTAGATTAAATACCATCGGGACAAACATCCTTAAATCAGCAAAGCTAGGTGCATCAAGCACTAATGAATTTGGTAATAACAACACAATCAACATTAAAAGTATTACAATGGCTTATTGTCCAACATTGTGTGTTTCATTAGACTTGACATCATTAGATTGCAGAAACATAATTTTGTTTAAAAATAAGTTTAGTGCATTGTTTAAACGGAAACACTTAAAATGGAAATATTTATCATTGCAATCATTATTTGTTCATTTTAAACGTTTTCTTAATATAGAAATACCTTTACCTTGGATTGACATATCTCTTGTTGAATGGCTGATAGACAGTGACGAAAAACCTCCACGTTTATCGTGTTTAGTAAGTGAATAGAGTCTTACTTGTTATTATGTCTTTATTTTATATTCTTGTAACATGTTTTATAAATCACTCCATTATTTTTCAAATTATGTTTAATTATAACTTTTTAAACGATTAGGGGTACTAAAAATTGTAACATTTCAGGTGAAAAAATATTGTGATATTGATTTATCTTCAGTATCTATTCGCATTGATAATAAAGAAAAGAAATACAAAAACTTAGAACTGTATGAAGAATCATTCCTTAGAACATGGTTCATATGGGATATAGCAGAAAAGATGTATAATAGTTTGCAATCTCAATATATGATCGTCTCTAATACTACCGGTAATTTTTACATAATTGTTAGAACATGCTTTTAACAGCAACTTTAAGTAAACATGAAAGACTTAGAACGATAAACAACCTGACCATCAATCAATTAATTAAAATAAAGTTGTTGCGGAATATGTTCCTTAGAGCCGGAATTTTTATGACATATCGGCATAAAGTTACTCGATTGCTTTAAAACCTATCTATTCAGTTTCTTTTCTGAAAAATCTTTATTTTAGATGTAGAGTCACAAGTTCTTAGGATATTATGCAGATGTGAATACAGTGGCGTCACAGTAGATAAAAAATTAGTCTCGCAGTTGTTAATTGATGTGAGACAAACACAAGAAATACTCCAAAAGAAAGCTTTTAAGATATGTGGCCATCATTTCAATTTTAATTCTTCCAAAGATGTTGCTAAGGTATTTTCTTATAAATTTTGTTAAAAATGTAACTAAGTTTTCCAACGGAATCAGTTCATACTTTGTATTTCATGATTTCTTCAGGTATTAGGAATATACAAAGGGCGAAAAGTCACTACGAAGAAAAGCGTTTTGACAGCACACAACACGCCCATTTCAAGTATAATAATATACTGGCGAAAACTTAATTCTATTTTAACAAAAACCTTGTATCCATTAACTGAGAAAGCTTGCATATATAGCGAAGATGATAGGTAAGTGGACCCTAAGTTTTATTCGAGTTTTCTTCAAAATAAATATATTTTTGTTGTTTATTGATTTTAACTATGAATTTGATTAGGAGTTTGACTTTCAGGATAAATCCATCTTATACAATGTACACATGCACGGGTCGAGTTAGTATGCATGAACCAAACTTGCAAAATGTACCACGTACATTTTCTATTCCTATGAAATACATTTCGTTGAATAATGAAGAAACCTGTGAGGTGATTGAATTCAACTGTCGAAACGTCTTCAAGGCGGCACCTGGATACGTTCTGGTATCGGCGGATTACTGCCAGTTGGAAATGAGGATCTTGACTCATTATAGCGAGGATCCGGTGCTCACTGAGATTATGAGTTCCAATGTAGATGTATTTAAGTCCATCGCGGTATCATGGAGTGGTATTAGTGAAGATGAGGTGAGTTCAAAATAACCAGCTAATTTCAAATGACTTTATTACATTATTAATTTGTCACTTGCGATTTACCTATGTATTTTGGTTAAGTATTCAGTTCAAATATTTCCACCCTTTTTTTCGAAATTCACTTTCCCCGAGCATATCACACCAATTCTGGTTCAAACCGCGAGCGGGAGTTGAAAAATTGAAACTTCACGTGATCAATAGGTTTCAGTTGTTAATGGTGCAATATACATTCATAGGTAGACGACGATTTACGTCAAAAGGTAAAGCAGCTTTGCTATGGCATTTTATATGGCATGGGGAACAAGACACTTGCGCAGCACCTCGATGTAACAGAGCTAGAGGCGGCTATCTTCATGGACTCTTTTTATAAGACCTATCCAGCCATTAAGGCATTCACAAAGACAGTGGTCGAAAACTGCAAGACCAACGGATACGTGGAAACGTTGACGAAGCGCCGGAGGTATTTGCCTGATATTAACAGTCCTGTACCCTCAAAAAGAGGTAAGTAAAAGATTAGGCAATATGTTACTGTAGATAATTATATATATATTTTAATAATAAACCTGCAGTTTTGACATTACAGTCTGGTTATTAAATTTTTTTTTGTGTTTTATGCAAATGTTATAAAATCGCTAAAAGTTATTTTGAATAGTTTTTGTTGCCTATAGTGTAAAACCTAAATAACAGCGCGCGTATGAACAAACTTGTGAAATGCTTTGTCTTCTACACGAAACGTCACTTTGGTCTGGTCGAGAGTCAGATGTCGTGTGGACGTACCCGAAAAAAGTGACATGCTAAGCGTTGTGGTGTAATAATGGAATTCGTTAAAATTGTAAGAAATTATTATTTGTAAATTTCTTAATTGATAAACTTATTCCAATAAATACACGAGTTTTGTTGTTTACGAGGGATCGTTACTAAAACGAGGCCATGTTTTATGATTACAAAGGACAATTACGAGTATTCTTAATTACCTTCACCTGTATATTTCATGTTGAGGAAGTAATTTTCTACGGAAATGTTAATCTATTAAACAATATACCTTCTAGGTATATAAAGTGTTCCCATAATTTAACTTAATTTACTTATAATAATAATAGGAGAATATGATGATCTGAAACTAGTTTATTTAGTATAATGTAAATAATTTTTTATATTTGGGGATTAGAGTTAATTCATACTAGCGCAAGTCAAAGAACATCTAATAGCCCGTTGCACAAACGTCCATTAATATTTTCATCAGATTAAAGCGACATTACCCATACAAATTTGACATTCATTAGAGCTTAAAGGCGTCATTAAATCTTAATGAACGTTTGTGGAACTGACCGTAAGTGTCTTATATTTCTAGAGATAAAAATGCTGCTGTATGACAGATTATTTAAAAAAAATTTTTTTATTTATTTCATGATGCCAGTTACTTTATTTCCTTTAACTTCCATATGTATTATTATTATTTTAAAAGCTTTAAAGAATTCAAAGCATTATGATTTGAATTCGTTATAACTTTCAACTATCAAGTTTAAACTACATGACTTTATCAGGGCGTCTTAAAAACCAAGATGCTGCTTAAAAATTATCCGGTACATTCTAGGACGATATAAAAACAAGGACATGTCCTGGGAACACGAAATGGTTGAACAAATTAAAATTTTACGTTCATTTTTACGTTCCGCTTTGTAGTCTTTATATAAACTAATGAAGGTCTGTTGTTATCGTAGCATTTCGCAGGTGCTTTTAAATTTATTTTAGATATCTATCAGATTAAAGTATTAGTTATTTGAAAAATAGGTGCTTGATGTACATCACACCAATGCTTAACATTTACCTACCGAGATCAAGAAGTCATTTCAATACTATTAATAGATATATCATATTTTTGTTACGTACTTAAATGGATCATATTTCAGTCATAAAATCTTTCAGCTGCGGCCGAGCGGCAAGCAGTAAATACCACCATACAAGGATCCGCCGCTGACATCGCTAAGGCAGCAATGTGTGCCATAGACAATCGCACCGGACAACATATCCACAAACCTAATTTATATATCCAAATGCACGATGAACTTATTTACGAAGTCCACGAGTCGTATAAAAGTACTTTTATGACGACACTAAAGGAGGTGATGGAAGGATCTGTCCGTTTGAATGTCCCTTTGCCAGTTAAAGTAAAGACCGGTTCGACGTGGGGTGCTCTTGAAGAAGTACAAGTGTAATATGATTCTATTTCGTTAATCTGTGATATTGTTTGCCATGAAACCAAGAAACGATCGTGTGATATTTTTTTACCTTTTATGTCGTTTAATATGAAATTGTAGTATTTTGGTGTATATAAAAATATTTTTTTCAATTTCTTTTTTCTTTTCATAATGGGTTGGTGCAAGTCTGACGAAAGGTACTTCAAGTGTCCTTACAGACAGATCTTCCGTTAAATATACAAATATAATGTCATATCAAATTATATTTGTCAGTTCGCGACCGAAGAGACGCAACTTTCTTCCATCCGATGTGTACCGACCCTAAATCATTTTTAATTTAGATAATGTTTGAAGTAGGATATTTAATAATGCAATAAACCGTAAATACAATTATAAGTGGATTTTAAACAGTTATGCAAGTAAAAAGCGTTCAATAAAACAAGTTTTTGATATGATAGTACAAATAAATTACAAATTTTACTAGTTAACCGCGGAACTGACAATTAGAAGTACTGCAGTAGAAGAGACTGCCAAAATTAAACTTGCGACAAAAATTAAAATAGCACTGTTAATTGTGGGCGTGCTTAGTATGAAGATCAAACGGTTTGGCACGCACGTACGTGAACGTGAGTGTATAGTATTTGTTGTGTTATTGTTCCCAGTTTTTTCCAGTCACGTGCGTCGAAATTCGATAACATATATTTAGTCATGTAATTGTTGTGAGTTCACCTTTAAAAAAACAAAAGACTATAATATAGTTTATGAATTTTTTGATTGTTACTTTGATTTTCCCAATACCGTGTGGAACATTATAGAATAAACACTGCCTCCCGGGACTATAGTTTACATAGCGATGTAAATACGCAAGTATCATATTGGCGCGCGGTAGCAGCGTATTTTCCGAGGGATTTCCCAGGTTTCCACGGCGGGCGATAGAGGGCAGAGAGCGCGGTTCCTCGCGCAATCAATACCTGCGCCGAGCGGCCGTCGGAGGCTCGCTTGTCACCCTGTCACGTCAGCCGCGCCACCGACGCGCCTCTGTCAACCCCTAGCTCACGTACCGTCTCCAAATGTACGTTTACATAGTGTAAAATGTCCGCTTCGACTAGAGAGCTCGCGATATCGGGCTCCCGTGACCGAGTGATGTAGCGACTCGCCTCCAACGTCCAAGTGCTAATTGCGACATCACGAAAATGCATCTTCATTTCGAGAGGAACGTGAACGCTAAATGTGACTGCACAATACTCTCGTTGTCATGGATGGGCAAGGTCCCCGACGAGCTGCCAGAGGTAAGGTCTTTACTTTCACTTGGTTATCTAGGAAGCGACGGTTTATGTCACTCGTGTTCATCAAGTTAAAATATTTTGTAGTAATTACCACTATTTACGTCACGCTTATTGCTTTGTATTGTTAAAACAGTTTGTAGCACCATTATGTTTATGAGCCCGGTTCAAATAATACTAAAATTCATTAACATATATACTTTAGAATGAGAACTACTTAGATCAAATAGTTCTTTGACTTATTTTAAAACTCAATCTTTAATCGGGTTAGCTTCTTAAAAAGCAATAGAAGATCGAAATTAACACCAAACTTATTTATTTACAAAACTAAATCTTTCTAGGCTATCTTTTGAATTAGTCCCAATTAGCTACCTACAGGTTGGCATAAATTACAGCGGCCATCAAGACACGTAAGGGGTGATTGCCTCCGAAACCTGCGCCACATTATTACACTGCATTAAATTTCCATTTCTCTTCTATGTAGATTGAAAGCGATTTGCTTCGAACGAAATCGTAGTTGGCGAGAGAGGGTGAGTGGGATCCGAGCAATTGTGTAGACGTAACCGCGGCAGCAGGGTCGACAACTCGACACCGAGGGCTCCCATTCAATTAACCTTCCTTCGCTTCTACTGCTTTTGACCTATTTACTTTCATTTCGGGTAGTACTTCGCACTTTTATGACTGCGAAGTATGTATTCTAATAGTTCACACTTTTTGTATACGTTATGTACACAGCTCGTAAAGGGAAACTGAGTGTTCCCAAGCCTCTTTTGTCGTTGAAAATGAGTAATGTTCTTGGCGATGCGAAATATAATTGCTACTCGTTAGGTCTCTGAATAAGATCGTTACCTTTTCAACAGTTCTCCGTATCCCCTAATATCATTTACTTAGTACAGCCATTCAGTGTGTTATAGAGAAATGGAGTTGCTAACTATGAGTTATTTACGTTATTGTTTTAGTGAATAGAGTGATTGTGCCGTTCGTCTATCGTGTTATGTATGTATGTTGCTAATATTCTTTTCTAAAGCTTAGTTTCAACACAATTAGATAGTAAGTACGCCATGTTTAATGGATTATTTTTCTTAAAAAAAGTGTTCTTTAATAAACGAACGTTACGTTTGTTAATTTAAACCTATTTTATTTGTGATATGAATGAATGAATAATAATTTTATTTGCATATATCACACATACACATGCCAACAATTATAAAGTTGAATGAATACAAAGATTAAATATTAAAGAAGAAAAAATAAACAAAAAGACATACACAACTCTGCATGTGTGCCGGAACGATGCAAAAAGGCAAAAGCTCAGTAATATGTTTGCTTATTGAGCAAACTACTGATTTTCAGCTTTAACCTAAAAAAGAAGTATAATATAATAATGGTATAATAACTATTGTACCATATCGTCTGTATCTCAATATTAATTAAAAATGTCAAGTTGCGTATGAAAAAATAGTTTTAAGTATTATAACTTAGTTTTATTAAAAAAAAAATTGTGATATTGGTATTTTTTTTATAATATAAATCAATGTATAATAAATAGGAGAGATTTGATTGCTTGTCTGTTTTCATTGAATAGACTTGGTAACTATT